CTATTTACAAAGATGTGGACCTGCTGCAGGAAAACCACAAGGCACAGTGCAGGATCTGAGCCTGGTGACAGAGACCTGAATGGTTGGGGGCAGGATCCATAATGACAAACTAGAGAGTGCTCATGAGGGGCCCTTCCTGACAGGAGACTGCTTTGTGGGGAGCAGACAGCCTGAAGCAACCTCCTTGGGATTGAAGGGGAGAAGGTGAGAATAAATGCCACAGCTCACTCTCCTCCCCTCCTTCAGGTCCCTCTGGGGCTCCCTGCTACCCAAACCCAACAGGAACTCTAAAGGTGAGGAAATCTCGTGGTTGCCATAGGTCAACTTCAAGGCACAGAACAGGTTGGGTGAGTGTAGTGAACAGACCCAGAGGTCCACATGGAAGGGCTCGTGCCCGTTAGCCCTGCCACCTACTATCTGTAAGTCCTCTGTGAACTCAAGGTGGTATTAGCTTCTTCAGCAGCATCAGCTCCCTCCTTTTTTCTTCTATCCAGAATAAAGAAGATCCAACTTCAGCCAAATATGTCTAAGTCAATTTTAATGTCCTCACTTTTGTATCCTCCTATATACATGTACTCCTGTTAATAACACATAGCTAATCAGGCTTTGGAATGTATTGATCCTGCATTCCATCCTTCAGTTTCAGCCCCACACTGAGTACCCAACTCAGATTCCCATGGCCTCTTCCTTTTACTGTGTCAAGAGCCTCTTAATTAACCTTTTTGGTTCTGCTTGTGGAATCAAATTCTAAAGGCAGAACTCAAATCCTTTTCTTTCCGAAACTCTTCAATGAGCTCTCTTGTCTGAGGCTTTCATCTGAAGTCCTGAACGTGGCCTCCAACCTCCAACATCCCACGGTCTGGATGAAACTCCTCCTTTCACTCTTATCCTTGGCCTCCCTTTATGGCCCTGTGTCCCTGCAAACCACGCTGTCCTGTCGTTTGTCCTGTCTCCATGAGGATAATCCTAGTTAAGGAGCACCTAGTGTGTGCTGGGAGCTGTCCTAGGTACCTCACCTACACGATTTCATTTACTCCTCACAGACAACCAATCAGGCCTTTTCTACTGCCTAAAATGGAACAAATGTAACACAAAACATTTATAGTGAGCACTAAAGTCAGAAAGAGAAATCCCAGATGCTAGAAGCAACTCCAGAGAGGTGAGCAAGAGCTAAATCCAGAGTCAATGAGAGGACTGGAACCCAGAATGTCCCACCTTAGGTCCAGGCAGCGTGGGGCAGCGAAAAGTGCCCTCTACACAAAGCCAGTGATCTCTAAGCACTGTGCCTCCACCACTAGAGGAAAATTCCACTCTTTGGCTCAAGGCTATGACAAGGAAGTGTTGCTCATTCAACATGGGGGAATAAAAAAAAACCTTCAGCAAAAATGTAAACCCCAGGCTGCCCATGTGCAGTTGGGTGTCCACATTATTCATGCACTGTGGGAATTCTGAGCCCATAAATTAATATAAAATGGTAGGCTAGATCTGTATAACTATATCATATTGTTACAGAGACAATTATTCTCCTGTAAAACTCTTCCTGAAGATTATCCCTCACAAGAAACTTCCAGCTGCGTAGAAAACAAGCTCTCAGTGCAATAATTTACAGAAATTTCACACCCTAGAACTGCAAATAGTAGGACATCTTGAGCCCCTTGCTTAGGAAGATGAGAGCAGTAACAACCCTGTATAAGGCAAAACTGAGATTTCATTTTAAAATAACAGAAAAATTTATAAAAAGGACCAAATGAAAATTGTGAGATTAAAAACTGTAATATTCATAGAAGGATAAGGATTAAACAGGAGGCTAACCTTAGACATGAGCTGATGAATGAGAGGCAGACCTGGAGAAATCATTTAAACCTACAGTGACACTTCAAGGCAGGCAGTTGTTTGTCCTTGTTAACACAGGAAGAGTCAGGAAACTTTCTCAGGAGGGTACCTCAGATCTGTTCTACCCAGCAGCGTGCTGGGGCTGGTTTGCACCGCCTGGGAGAACCCTTTGGGTGCATCTCTTCCCAACTCCACTTTCAGTGCTATAAAATTAGTAGTTTGAAATTGACCATGGTAAGAATATTTATACCACAGAAATTGCCTAATGCTACTGTTGGGGCTTTTTTTTTTTTCCTTAGAGAGTCTGTTAAACATTTACCAGCATATCTAGCACTGGTCTGACCTGTGCTCACTTTAAATTGGGAGTCATGATGTAATCTCCTGCAGGGTACTTGTGGGACACACCAAGAATGAGGCTGGCTGAGGGGGCTCATAGTGTGGGCTTTGCGACCTTGCTAAAGTGAGCAACTGCCACCAAGCTCTTTGTATTAGTGGGCTGCACACCCAGTGCTAACATCTGATTTCTTTAAGAGCAGCTGCAAAATCCAGAATTTTATGTTAAATCTCAATTTTTAAACACTGGCAACAGATGCAAAAAATTTTTAAGACATTGCTCAGGCCAAAAAATATTATAAAACCCACATCTGCTGGCTAAATTTGGCCATGGGCTGCCAGTTTGTAATTTCTAGTTTCAGCCAATAAACTCCATTGCTTTGTGTTATTGTTTCTTTCTCTAAATGCCCTCCTCCCCTCAAAATCCAGCTTAAATGATAGTTTCTCCATGTTTCATCCCAGAGCTCTCCATCTAAAAGTTATCTTCTGAACACTAAAAAGATGGTTCTGAACACATAAGTATTTTATTTAAGGGAAATTTAAGTGTTTTAAGTATTTTACAGAAAATACTTCTGTGTTTGATATTATTTGTGCATATATTTTTCTTCTCTGGTAGCGTGTAACTTCCTTGAAGATGAAGATCTATGTCTTGGTCATCTTTGTTTCTCTGGAAATGATCAGTAAGTCTCTTCTATATGGTAGACATTCAATAAGTATTAGATAAAACTTAACACTAGAAACTCAGTAGATGTTCATTTGAATCACATTTTATATTTGCCTTCAGAATTATGACTCATGTCCTTAGCTAGGAAGACTAGGAAATTTCAGAGCCATGTTGATAGCACAGAAGATGTTTCTCATTATTCCTAGTTTTATGAGACATGCTTAAGGGAAACTATTTCCTTGTGTGTATTGATGCAGGTGAATGGGTGTTTCTGCATTGAGCTTTGTTATCCAATGAAGTGACTTTCCATAGTCATGGTTGACTGAGATGTTAGGATATAAAGCATTTTCCTATTTAGTTAAACTTTTTTTCCTGAATCAGAATGAAACTTCTTAAAATCAAAGCATAATATTTACTAATATTTGTACTTAGAATTTTTAAAACTTTAAAACTTTAAAGTATAATGTATTGTAGAGAAAAATATGAAGGAATACAAGCACTTTGGTATAAATCTAAAATTAAAATTTGAGAGTTACTACTTTTCCCCCTCCTTTTCTTATGTTGTTTAAAATAAAGACTTTTTAGTTCTTTCTCTCACTTTCAATGCAGTAGATGTGTAAATCTTGCAGCTCTTCATCTCTTAAAGTTCCCTTGGGATCTTAAAATGTCCTTGGATAATCTTTCCCTGACTGCCTTCTGCTAATTTTAGAAAAGAATTAGTTATCTCTAAATTCCAAGAAGTACAAGGATTCCTTTTGAAATCATGTATGAATCCCTGTGTCCTTGTTTTGAAGCAAAAGACTGACTTAAGAGTTAATGATTGGGAAATGCAAAGCTCTAGAAACAAAGAGTAGCTGTTGGGCTGGGGAACTGGTAACAATTTACACTATGATTTTGCCACAGAGCAGAATCACTGAACTCCCAGTTCCCTGACAGGTATAGATAAAGACCTAACAGTCATTCCTAAATTGTTTTTACAGGAAGCAGACTCCCGCCCCACCCCCAGATGAAAACAGCTGACCACAAGACCCTACACTGGTTGGAACCAGAAGGTTGATGATGCTTGTAACTTCATCATGATGCCAACCAACCCCCAAATTGTCCCTGAACTGATCATGCCCTGCTACTTGAACACTACAGAACTCCCTGCTACCCGCTCCAAGTACCCTCCTGTGGGTCACACAGTCTTGAGAGCATTAGCCTTCTGTGGTCCCTTTGCCTGACAAAGCAATGAAGGCTACCCTTTCCTACTTCACCCAAAACTCTGTCGCCGTGTTTCTATTCAACTTTGGTGAACCAAGGCTGAGTTTCGGCAACACTTCTCTTCCATGGTTAGGGTTAGCTACATACCATCTGTTTCCTCAAAAGTTTTTTTTTTTTTTTTCCTAAGCAGAACAAATAGAGCCCTCTATTCTTAACTGGTTTCTGTTTTCTGTTAAAGAGTTTGGAATTAGGAAAACCCCAACCTTATTAGTACTCTGTTAAAAATAGACTTAAGCAAAACAGCAAAATGATATTAAACATAGGGCCAAAAGTTTTCTCCTCACTTAATGCTTTCCTCTAATATTTGCATCCTTTGGGACAAGGTGGTAAAAATGAAAGCATAGGCTAGTCATCTTTTCCAAACCTACTTACTTGTTTTGAAATTGAATCTACTTTCAGCTATTACATAATTTTTTTAATTGTAAAAATTTAGTCTGAAAACGGCATAGAAAGGGTTGTCAAATATCAGTTGAATTTTCTTCTCATAGTTAAGAAAGATTTGACTCTGTTAGCCACGCAAGTTATCTTATTTCTAAAGCTTTGGAGAGTCATGTGCATGAGTCATGTGCAGTGTGTACAATCTTGTAAAAATAGGTAGTGCATTCTTTCAACAAGTGTATGTTGAGGAGGGTCCACTCTTCAGGCACTAGCTACACAGTGGTGAACAAAACAGGAAGAGCTGAGACTTAGGCCCTGCCCTGTGATGTCAACAGTGTTCAGCCATGCAGGGACTGAACCTACAACGTGGAAACTCATTATCACATTTTAACTTCAATTGTAAAACAGCTTTGACATGCAATGCATTTGCTTTCAATTGTCAGTAAGAGGTGATTGCCATCATAGCCAAGACCTAAGTTATTCAAGTTTGAAAGGAAACTTTTCATAACAGGTACCTTTATCATCAGTGTCAGTTTACCCCGTCAGCTGAGGTCCCCAGTCTCTGCTCTTTATTGATGATCTTCTGCTGCACCAAATTGGATTGATCATCCCTATAAAACAGACAGACAAACACTGGATGTGTGTGGTGGAGGAAAACCTGTCATCCCAAGGGGGATGGTTACCTTTTGCCTTTGCTTCTTTCAGATAAGCGCCTTGAACTGGAAGTCTGGGAAGTTTCCTTCATCCAGGCTGGAATTAATTATTTTGAAACAGTGTAAATTAAATGATGAGGTTTGTTGTCATTTATGTCATTATTGCCCAACCCCCGAATGTACCTTCTCACTATTTAATATTGTCCTTCAGGACAGTCATGGTGTACACGTAGCTCCAGAAAGTCATAGACTCCAGTGAGGTTCAGTAGACAGGGGAGGTTCAGCCTTAGATGATCTGAATCCCACCCCCTTCTTTGATTGCTGAGGGATCTGAGGCTCAGAGAGGTGAAATGGACTCCTAAGGGCACAGAGTTGGCCAAGGAGCTTTGTGCCCTTCCTCTTAGTCTACGTAAAAAGAATGATGCTCTCAATACTACAATCCCTTATTTTATGAGTCCTTATCATGTTACTCTATTACAGTTATAGTTGTAGAATATTAACTTCACTAGTGCAATATGTCTACCAAATACAAAAGTTTCAGGCTTTATTACATGAAGGACACTTTACTGCTCAGCTCATGACTGATCTTGAGTTGGCTTATCTTAATGGACAATGCTAGCGACTTGAGAATTAACCAAAAGAGATGTTCAATTTACCTCAGCTGATTTTTTAGAGGTCAAAGGAAAGGGGAAAGCTAAAGGTGCTTGGAGTTAGCATATATTGCTTCCTGCCTATGCTCCGAGTTAGCTGATCCAGGGCCATTGGTCTTCTTGTTCTTGTTCCACTGAGGAAATAGTGGTCACATGGCTGAAAGGAAGAGGCTGAAAGTAGAACTGCCCAGACTTTGGGAAAGGGAAGCTATATATGCCAGGTGGGTAATAAGTCAGAACTTCTCCTACCTATTAAGTTGAATCACATGAAATTGTCCATAATACACCACTTTTGACCTAGGAAAGTGGTACTTTTATATGACTTAATCTAATTTTTCTTTTCCCCTTTCCCTTTTTATCCTCCCAAGCTGTTGCAAGTATTTCTCTTTGGCCTGGTGTAGGATCAGTTCTTTGGCCTACTGTCAAACTTTCACCCATTCTCTCCTCTTGCCCTTAAAAGCTTTCAGGCTCAGGATCAAAGATTTGCTCCTTGAAAAGCACAACTGGATTCAACCTAGGTTGAATTGGTTGGAAAATCAATAGTTTAGCACTATTTCCTCACTGGAAATGGTTCAACCCAATGATCGGGGTTAACATGCTTAATACAAACATACTTGAGAGATAGTACAGCTCTCATCTTGCCTGGGCAGGTGGAGACATGGCATCTCTATCTTATCACCCAGAAGAATTTTATGGCTGGACCTCTACCACATAGAGGTCTGAATGGGGCACCCTATGTTTCAAAAGAAAAAGATCATGCTTAGTTGTGCTTATCAGGTAACCAAACTTATATGTAACCTATGAGCATCAGGCCAACTGTTGGGAGGGCTATTGGTCAGCGGGAGGTGGATAATCCTACCATAGCCATGTGAGGAACCAGTTCTTAGGATAAATCTCAAAATCTCAGTTGACTGCCTTAGTCCCTTCATCCTTAAAACAAAGGAGCCAAAGAAACTTGTCTAAGATCAGAAATGAATTCAAGGTTGTCTGCGAAGACACATAAGGCCTGGTAACAGATGTAGTTCTTGGTTGTAGAAACAGAACAATAGGATGACAATTCTGGTTAAGTACTTAGGGTCAACTAGCATTGCGGAAGGAGAAGGTGGGATGAATTGAACATTGGATGCTCTTGCTTTTTAAAAACATTGAAGTATAGCTGATTTACAATACTGTGTTAATTTCTGGTGTGCAGCAGAATGATTCAGATATAAGTATATATACTTTTAAAGATTTTTTTCCATTATAGGTTATTACAAGATATTGAATATAATTTCCTTTGCTACATAGTAAGTCCTTGTTGCTAACCTATTATATATATATATATATATATATATATAATATATATATATATATATATATATCAGTGTGTATCTTTTAATTCCCTATTCCTAATTTATCCCTTCCTCCCTTTAACCTTTTCCTTTTGGTAACCATAAGTTTGCTTTCTATGTCTGTGAGTCTGTTTCTATTTTGTAGATAAATTCATTTGTATTATTTTTTAGATTCCACATGTAAGTGCTATTATATAATATTTGTTTTTGTGTGATTTATTTTACTTAGTATGATATTGTCTAGGTCTGTCCATGTCACTGCAGTTGGCAATATTTCATTTCTTCTTTATGGTTGAGTAATATTCCATTTTATATTTGGTATAAGTGTGTGTGCTCAGTCGCTTCAATTGTGTCTGATTCTTTGTGACCCTATGACTGTAGCTCACTGGGCTTCTCTGTCCATGACATTCTCCAGGCAAGAATACTGGAGTGTGTTGCCATGCCCTCCTCCAGGAGATCTTTCTGACCCCGGAATTGAACACATGTCTCCTGCATTGCAGGCAGATTCTTTACCACTGAGCCAATGGGGAAGCTCCATATTTGGTAGCAAAACTTTATCCATTCATCTGTTGATGGACACTTAGTTTGGCTCTATCTCTTGCCTATGGTAAATAGTGCTGCTATGAATATTGGGGTGCATGTATCTTTTTGAATTAGAGTTTTTATTTTTTCATGGATATATGCCCAGAAGTGGGATTGCTGGGCCATATGGTAGCTCATATTTTAGGTTATTTAAGGAAACTCCATACTATTTTCTATAGTGACGTCACCAATTTACATTTCCACCAACAGTGTAAGAGGTTTATATTTTCTCCATACCTCCTCCAGCATTTATTATTTGTAGATGTTTTCATGATAGTCATTCTGACTGGTATGAGGTGATACCTCATTGTAATTTTAATTTGCATATCTCTAATAATTAACGATGCTGAGTGCCTTTTCATGTGTCTGGTGGCCATCTGTATGTCTTCTTTGGCGAAATGTCTATTTAGGTCTTCCACCCACTTTTTTATTAGGTTGTTTGTTTTTTAGATATTGAGTTGTATGAGCTGTGTATATTTTGGAAATAAAAGCCTTGTCTGTTGTATCGTTTGCAAATATTTTCTCCTATTCTATGAGTTGTCTTTTCTTTCTTTCTTTTTTTTTTTTTTTTGATGGTTTCCTTTGCTGTGCATTAGGTCCATTTGCTTATTTTTGCTTTTATTTCTTTTGCCTTAGGATACAGATCTAAGAAAATATTGCTATGATTTATGTCAGAGAAAGTTTTGCCTATGTTCTCTTCTTGGAGTTAGATGGGGTAATATCTTATACTTAGGTCTTTCAACCATTTTGAGTTTGTTTTTAATATAGTATGAGGGAATGTTCTAATTTCATTGATTGACATGTAGCTGTCCGGCTTTCCCAACACCAGCTGCTGCAGAGACTGTCTTTTCTCCACTGTACATTCTTGCCTCTTTTGTCAAAGATTAAATGTAGTATGAGTTTATTTCTGGGTTACTTTTTCCATATGTCTGTACCAATACCATGCTGTCTTGATTATTATAACTTGGTAGTATTATCTAAAGTGTGGGAGGATTATGCCTCCAGCTTTGTTCTTTTTTCCTCAGGATTGCTTTGGCAATGCTGGGTCTTTTGTTTTTCCACATAAATTTTAGGAATATTTGTTCTGCTTTTGTGAAAAATGTCATGAGTAATTTGATAGAAATTGCATTAAATCTGTAGACTGCTTTGAGTAAGAACATTTTAACAATATTCATTCTCCTAATCCAAGAGCATGGGATATCTTTCCATTTCTTTGAATCACCTCTAATTTCCTCTATCAATGCCCTATAGTTCTCAGTGTATCAGTCTTTTACCTCCTTGGTTAGGTTTATTTTAAGGGTGTTTTTCTTAGATGCAGTTTTAAATGAGATTCCCCTCCCCTCCCATTTTCTCTTTCTGATAATTCATCATTAGTGTAAAGAAATGCAACAGATTTCTGATATCCTGATGCTCTTGCTTTTATTTTAGGCACTGAATAGATTTGATCAATAAAGCCTGGCCCTACAAAAATGTCTACCTTGGCTATGGTGGGACTAATGAACTTTAAGATTCTTCCTAAGTTCCAGAAACCCTGCAAAGCAACCCAAAGCACTCAGCCTTCTCCACCCTTCAATGGCAGAAACAATCCAAGACACTGCCTTTTCCTGCAACCAGCACACATTTATTAAGGACCTGGTATGCACCAAGTCTTATTCTACGCCAATGGATATCAATGTGGCCTCCAGACGAGCAGCCTTAACATTACCCAGAAACTTACAAGAAACCAAGACTCTCAGGCCCATCCATAACCCACTAGATCAGAAGCCCTGGGAGTGGGATCCAGTGTCTGTGTCCTAACAAGCCCCTCAGGTGATTCTGGAGTAATCCTGAAAATGGAGAATGTTCTGGTAGTGGGACATGGCCAAAGTAGCAACACTGCTGGGCGTGACTTCAGTGGCTTTGTTCCTGTGTGGTAAAGATCATAAAATGTTCCTGACAAACTGCTGCTCAGAAAGAATTCATTAAGGTTGCCAGCCAATGAAGAAAAGTCCACATTGATGAAGAATTTATGTTTTGGTAAAATGTCACCATGTCCTCTGAAGCTATGCCACATATTAGGAAATTCTGAAATTGTTTAGCCACGATGTAATGTTGTAATTTTGCTGTGAACAAGTTTAAGAGCCTTGATGAATATTTTTCTTTTTTCTGCTGGTCCTTAACTGTAGCCTGTAATGCAGTTTTGATACTAGAAAATAATACTTCCTAGGATTGCCTCCACCTGAAAACTGAGGCTATAGCTGAAAAACTCTTCCATCAGTGCTTTTAAAAAAGCATGACCCATTATGTTTTGTTTCCTTCCTCCCTCCCATCCTGCTTTCCCTATTTTATATCAGCAATTTTAAAACTGGTGAGATGTCTCTATTCTCCAGCACTCATCTAAATTTATCTCACCTACCTGTTCCTTTTCTAGAAAAGAAGCAACAAAAGGAATAGGTCTGTTATATAAACATTCATTAAAAGAAAATACACGTCATAGTGAAGAAACCTTTATAGGTGCTTGCTTTCTACATCACCACAACAAGCTATGCCTTGTGACTATTCCCCTTTGCACGTAGGACACCAAGGTTTGGAGAAACAGAGTGACCTGTCCACCATCCAGATGGAACCAGAGTCTATATATTGCTCAGAATTTCTGCCTTCTAACCTCATGTGTGCCCACTAGGTTTCACCATAGTTTCACATTTTGCTTGGCCTGTTTTCATTTGTACCCAAGGAGAGCTTGTTCTGTATATGTGGGGACAGGGGGGTACATGAGTAATTTCTGTACCTTTTGCTTAATTTTGCTGTGAACCTGAAATTGCTCTAAAAATAGTGTATTTAAAAAGTTGAATTTATCCTTAGAGAATGGTAACATGATTCTTAAGACAAATGTTTTCCCGTTTCATCTATGTGGTACACACCATCCAGTAGCTGAGAAATTATTACAGGAATTTGGATATCAGTCTGGTATCATTTTTTGAAATATAGTTGATTTAGTGGGTAAAGGATGAGTTAAATAGATAAGGAGAAAAGGCTAACTCTGCACAGGTCCATTTAGCTAAGTTGAGAAAGCTTTAGAAAAATGAAAGAACAAAAACAAACACCTAATCCTCCCTCAACTTTGCAATAAGGTAACATTGCTGACATCGAGTCAGCAATTTCTTATTCAAGACATAGGTGATCTGTCAGAAAGAAAGTAATGATATAGGACGTGCAAGAAGAAAGAGAAGGTAATAGAGGGTTCGTTTTATTTTATTTCATTTCAGTGAGGTTTGAGGTTTCCAAAATCGCCTGTTTTTTCACAGGCGGGCCTGTAGGCTTTAGATTCCCTAACTAAATGACCAACAGTCAGCCCGCCTCCCCGGCCCTCCACCCCCAACCGTCCCGTCCCCGGGGCTGCTCCCATGCAGCCGTGGCCGCAACCGAAGGCTATTTCCAAGTCCGTCTGGTTCTTTCAGAAAGTCTTGTTTGTTGTCTCTTCAGTGACATTCTGTTTATTCAATTCCCATTTTTTCCTTCTGAGGGAGACAGCTTAACACGTTTTCCCCTTCTTCTTTAAAAAATATTATCTGCTTTTCTTTATCACTGTCGAGAAGAGTGAAAAGCTCTGAAGCAAAATAAAGGGAGATTTAAAGCCGGGCGGAGAAGGGCGCTCGGTGGAGGGGGGCGCCGCCCCGGGACACTGCGGCGGCGCGGCCTCACCCGCGTTCCCGGCCCGCCGGCGACGCCCCAGCGCAGCCCGTCATTTCCTCGGACGGAGGCCCAGCCGAGGGCGCCTCCGGCGACGTGGGTGGGCTGCTGCAAAGACGCGGCGTCCAGTCCCATTCTGGAACTGCCCCGGGCCTGGCCCCGCGGAGGGCGGGCTCTGTGTTGTTTAAGTAAATAAACGGGTCGGAGGCCGGGCTGGCCGGCCCCCGCCCTCTCTCGCCGGCCCAGACCCGGCAGGCCGCCCCCCATCCCCACCGCCCCAGCCCCGGGCCACAGCCACCGCCGCCACCCACCGCGCAGGCGGGACCGCGGGCCGTCCCCGGACTTTCCAGTAAACAGAGAAGGTCTAATCTTTGTCCCGGGCCACCGGGAGGCACTTGGGCCCGTTCATCTTGTTTTTTCAGATGTTCCCTTGGGTTCTCTTCCTGGCCCACCTCCAGCCCCAGACACTTCCCCGCGGCCAGTTAGCATCTTCAGCGCGGAAGCTGGAGTCCAAGGAGGCTCGAAGGGTGGTCCCGGGCCGGGAGCGCGGCCTCAGCTGGAAGCTGGCCAGGAATGCAGTTCTCAGGCCCTGCTCCGGACCTGGCGAATCAGAAACGCTGGGAAAGGGGCCCAGCCGACTTTTCTGCAGCTTCTCCAGGTGACCCCATGCACACCCAAGCATGTGAACCAAGGAGCCTGGCTGCTGGCTGCCCACGAGCTGGATTTGATCTGTTTTGTGTGGCTGGGTCCTCAGGCCCCGAGGGCTGTCCAGCCCTCAGCAAGTGCTCAGTATGCATTTTACAAACTAACAGGTGTTGCCCGGGTTGGGGCGGGGGAGGGCCAGCTGGCTGATTTGGATTGGTGTTTTCCTTTTTCCTTCCCACAAGTTCACCTCTGCCCCGGCCCTTCACAGTATATCTCAGCTGAAGGCAAAGGGGTTTTTCACTGGGTTTTTCCACCCACTTGTCTTTTTGAGTGGATTACGCCACAGACAAGTTCAGTGATGGAGGGATGGGAGGGCGTTGGGATAGAGAAAACGTCTCTTCCAAGACTGCCATGAGCATAGACTCTGCCTCTTATTTTGTTGACCATATATATATAGGAGTATGTGGCTCATTGGTGAAGAATAGGCTTGTTAATGCAGGAGACGTGGGCTCGATCCCTGGGTCAGGAAGAGCCCTTGGAAAAGGAAATGGCACCCCACTCCAGTATTCTTGCCTGGGAAATCTCATGGACAGATGAGCCTGGCAGGTTACAGTCCATGGGGTTGCAAAAGAGTTGGACACAACTTAGCAACTAAACAGCAAATACACACACACACACACACACACATACACACAGAGAGAGAGACAGAGAGAGAGATGTCTTTGGATGGTCAAGCATTCAGGTTGGCCCAGTTCACATGGTTATCACGTAGTGCATGAAACCTGGAGAGGATCCCCTTCAATGCCCTTCTTCTTCTGTCAGGTCTGATCCTGTACAACGCTGCCCCTGATAAGTATTGAGCACTTACTATGCGCCAGACCCTGGGGGAGGATGTCTGTGGTCAAGAAAATTGAGTCAGAATCTGTGCTCATGGTATTTTCATTTCACATCAAGGAAGATAGATAAATAATTTCAATACAATAGAATGTGACAAGTGTTAGGAGAGTGTTATTTTGTTGTTCAGTCGCTCAGTCATATCCGAATCTTTGGGACCCCATGGACTGCAGCACGCCAGGCTTCCCTGTTGATCACCATCCCCTTGAGGTTGCTCAAATTCATGCCCATTGAGTCAGTAATGCCATCCAACTATCTCGTCCTCTGTTGTCCCCTTCTCCTCCTGTCTTCAGTCTTTCCCAGCATCAGGGTCTTTTCTAATGAGTCAGCTCTTCGCATCAGGTGGCCAAAGTATTGAGCTTCAGCTTCAGCATCAGTCTTTCCAGTGAATATTCAGGATTGATTTCCTTTGGGATTGACTGTTTTGATCTCCTTTCAGTCCACAGTGTTATTTAAGATCCTTCTAATTACATACCATCTTGTGGCATCTCTTGTTACCTTGATCTGTTATTATTTACCTGTTTCACTAATTTAGGATGTTTACTTCTTGTCTTTCCAGCTGGATGTTAAGTTTCTGGAGGATAAGAACAATGTCTTACATCCTTTTATCTCCTCTTAGCCTGGTAGGCTTTGGGTACATACCATTGATTCTAGCTGGGGTAATGTTGCTGGAGCAGCATCTGGAGACATCTTTGGTTGTTACAACTTGCACAAATTGGGAACAAGGCCCTATCGACTTCTAGTCGGTGAAGGTCAAGGATGCTGCTAACATCCAACAGTGCACGGGACAGCCTCCACGCCCAATACAGAATTACCCAGCCCCAAATGTCAATGGTGTGGGGCTGAGAAGCCTGGCCTAGGGAAACCTTTTGGATTCTCCCTGCAGCATCCTCCTCCTAACAAGCTAGTGCCTGGGAAACCAGGGAAGCTAACACAGCCCAGCAAGACTGCAGGGCTCTCCTCCTTCCTCTTTGTCCACCAGCCAGCACAGCTCTTCCTCTTCCTGCCAGACAAGTCATTCTTTTTCCTTCTTTGTGACAATAAAATCTGACCTGGCTTAGGCAGAAGGGGACACGGACTCACACCTCATTTTCTTTAGCCTTTGAGACCAGATTTCTAGATACCAAATTCCCAGGTCATCTTTATTCTGATCATACTTCAGGTCATCAGTCCTTAAGGTGTGTTCAGGGTCTCCAAGTCCATCCCACATCAGCCAGTATGGCTCCACCTGAGGTCTTAGCCAGACTTGTATATCAGAAGGATCTTGACAATGAGAGAACTTTGAAAATCACCACTAGCAATCCTTTGACTCTAACTTGGCTCTTTGAAAGTGGCAGAGTAGGGATATTCCTGGAATGGTGACGAGTAACTGCTACTCCTATGACTAGTGTCCCTCACTAGGATGGTTCTAAAACTAGAAATTTCCTGGCTTCTTAGCCCTACATCATAGAAGTGATTAGAAAGGGAAGTCATGTTTTCAGGGTGCGTCAACATCGATTCTGGTCCCTAGTGTGATGCTGAGAAGGAGCAAAGTCCTGAAGATTGAGCAGGGTGGACTGGCTTTGTAATCGTTTCTTCATGCAGCTCATCGCAGGATACTTGGTCTTTGATCACGAAGCTGCACCTGCTCATTTTTCTTTGCGGGAGTCCTGCCTAATGAAGTGTCCAAATGCAGTTGGTTCACACATCAGGCTAGAAATTCAGTATTCTGGGTAATGAAGGGCAAATGCTGGCCTTCACTGGGGTGGCTGCATTGCTGCAGGAGTTACTGACCCTTTTGGAGTGGGGAATGGCAGGGGTGGGGAGAAAAGTGCTAGGCTTGTGGTCTAGGAGAGACTGAGGGCTGGGCGGGTGGGAGGGAGATGAGCCAGTGTAAAAGACACGGCCACTGGTGCTTGGGAGCTTGAGCGCTAATATCTAATGCCTATTTCCCCTTTTACTTTGTAATTTCTCAAGGTTGCTGGTTAACATCATTAAGAATGACCATCTCATTCTGTTATGGCTTAGAGAAGACCCTGGTCCTGTGGTTGGACTGAGTGGCATTCTAGAGCAGCAAGGTAGTGATGAGAGGCCTGGGGGAGAGTGGGACCGCAGAAATGCCCAGGAAAGGATATTCTTGTAATTCCTCAGGAAAGGCACTCAGATTACAATAATTTGAACTTTAGTGGGGAAGAGCAAACTTGTATTGCTAGAAAGCTCTGGGACATCTGTTTTACAGGTGTTTTCAAACATGGAAGTGTTTTAGTATCTGAAGATTGTGTTGAGGGACTCTGGTGGGATGAGTGTGCCTACTGCCCTGGGGAGAAGCAGCTTGAGACCCATCAGAACTGGCTGGGTTTCAACTGGCTAGACCAGTGGTCCTCATACAGGGTAATTTTGCTTCCCAGGCGACATTGGGCAATGTCCAGAGACACAATTAGTTGTCACAAATGGGGAGGTGGGTGCTACTGGTATCTGGTAGATAAAGCCAGGGACATTGCTAGGTTTCCTGCAATCCACAGGAAAACTGCATGATAAAGAATTATCCAACCTAACATGTCAGTTGTACTGCTGTTGAGCAACTCTGGGCTAGAAGAGGGAGAGAGAGCTTCTTGAGAAACACTTGAAGACAAGGCTCATGTGGGAGAGCCAGAGTGATGCAGGAGGTCTATGCAAGATTCCATTCCACTGAGGAAAGCACTGCAGACACAAGCCGCCCGAATCTGCTTGAGATGTGCTGGCCTGTGTCCTGCTCTGCAAATTTAGCATCAGGGGAGAGCTAAATCCTAGAATATTTTCATGCATATGTGATTCTGAGCCAGGGTCTCCCAGCCAGGTCTTTTGAAGGAGGATTGGATGATTTTCTGTACTGAAGGGAAGTGAAAATCCCCACTACTTCCTTGAGGGACCTGGAAGAATATGTTAGCTGGAATGCTGCCTGACTCCCGCTGAGTGTGGCTAGACCTCGAGGCCTTGAGGATCAGTCCTTCGTTTGCTAGAAACATTAGAAACATCGTATTCAAAGCACAAACTAGCTCTGTCAGTGCCCCTAGTGGTAACTGTATTGCAGTGATAGCCAGGAATAAAGTAGATTGGTCTTTACTCAGGCTGTGCCAGAAGCCCAGACTTCCAGCCAAAAGAACTGGGGACTTCAGGGGCAAGGCAGATGGGAGAATGCCTCATCGAGGGAGGGTTAGACTACATGAGCAAGGGAAAGACCAGGCGGGCCTCCTCTGAGGGAAGTGCCTCCTTCTATGTATAGTCTGGATCGTATCCTTAGTCTGCCTTTGCCCACTCTATCCAGAGTCTCCTGAGGTTCCCAGTCAACAAGGGGGTTTTTCTGTGTGAGCTCACTGGTGGGGCATCTGTGGACACATTCTAACTAATCCCTTTAATCCTGCCATGAGACATGAGTACAAGCACCAGTGGCACAAGCTGGCGCCTTCTTGTAGATAGTTGCATAGAACTCTGTACCAAGCATACATGGAGCAGCAGAGTGACAACTGATAATTTGATTTATCTACATTTGAAAAAACAAAGGTCTTTGGAAATAAATGTGCTCAACTTGAACCCAGTTCTGATGGGCTTCTAATACTCTATAAGATCATTACACTTTTCTGAGCCTTAGATTTCTTATCTATGGTATTGTTAGAGGATGGGAAGAAGTCATGCAACCCAGTTAGTACATTATCTGGCCCAAACTAGGTACGCAAGGAAGCTGCTTTTATTACTGTTGTTATTTCTCAGGCTTCATTTAAGGCTGGGGAAGTCTGAACTGACACGGTGTTTTTGCAACTGGTCAATAGGGTTCCTGTAGTTAGTTACTGTTCCTTAACTATAGCTGCTTCAAAGCTTCTTAAAACTTTTAGTGGTATTGGTAATATATAATATGTGTACAGATGAATTAATCAACACATAAAACCAATTATTGCCTAAAATAAAAGAATATGATAGTTTCTTTAATACATACCTAAAAATAAATTGTCTTTGAAAAAGGAGGTACACTAAATCTCATACTCCTAAATATAGTAACATCACCTGGCCCAAAGTATTGCCAAACTTTTCATCACTTGGTAAAGGGC